GTGCCGCTTGCTTCAACATCGCCGCCGCACAGATACGGAACTGCTCCGCCGGAGCCAACGGTGCCCGCGTTATCTACGACGGCTGCTTCCTCAGGTGCGGTCTCTAAGTTTGACTTTTCTTTGTCATAAATAGTAAGGCCGATAGATAAGATATTTATTACGAATTTATTTCAATATTTTATTTGATAAAACATTGATATTATTATATGATATCCCACCTCCATAGATGTGTGGGCATGTTGATTATTTAAAGACAAAGGAATAAAAAAAATTTAGACGTTTTTGATAAATATTCATACTCTAATGATGTTGAAATTTGGTCTTAAACATCCAAACAAAATATGGAGTAAATATTTAAAATTAAAGGAGGATATTATTTTTAGTCCCTAAATTTTGATTTTATTTTCTTGTGATCGCTAAAGTTGAAATTAGTAGTTTTGATCTTTAAAATTTGTCTTAAAGATCCTTTAAAATTTGTCTCCATTTAATTTGCTTTCATACGTACAACAGTAGAATAATTAATCCGTTATTCCATTCTCTGACCAATATAATGCTTAATTATGTGTAATGCTTCTCCATTATTAATTCTTATCTTTGTTATTATATTCTCTTTTTTATACCTTGTCTCTGCCAACTGCCGGCGCCAACGATTCATACCCATCTATATAAAATGCTCTTTAATTTCAAACCGGTCTCGTATTATTATATAATAATATAATAATAATATAATCATCATCATCATCATCATCATCATTTACATTCCTCAGGTAAGGCCTGTTCCGCCCTTTTTTTTTTTAAAAAAAAAATAGGTGCAGCCATCTTTTTATTGGAAGCCTGAATATGACCACTTCTTCATTACAAAATTATGCTTTTCTTATTTTATTTACAAGTCATTGTCAATATATTTTATCTTAATAAAAACAGTCTTTAAATCTTATTGTCTTTACCTGAAAATTCAACAAATTTTCTACTTTAAACATGTTTAATATATGTACTTTTCAACAAAATAACAATTTATATAATAATGAACTAATGAGGAAATAGTATATTCATACTAAAATTAAAATTAATATAATTTTTAATCTATTAAGTTTGTCATCATTTTACTTATGATCTCTTAAGTTTCAAATCTTATAAGATTCAATCTCTTATCATCTCTTACATTAACTATTTCTTTCCCGTAATACCCCATTTATTCTAGCATTTTTATTCCTATGCATTAATTTTAGTAATTAAATGGCAGGTTATTTTTTCGGAGGAAAAAAAAAGGTACAGGTGCATCTAGCGCTGTGATCTTATTTCTCAAATGCATCCAACACCTTCATATTAATCTTTTGTTACACCCAACATTTTAAAATCAGGGTGCTTGATGCACTATGAATAAAATCAAGGTGCACACCTAAAATACAAAATTAGAGTAACGTATACATCTTTATCCAAAAAGATGTATACAAAACATATTACAAGTTACCTAATATCTACATATTAATTACAAATAATCATCTTAACTACTTTTGAATTCTACCAATTAGTCAAAAGACCTTGTATTTAGAATCAAGAGGAGTATCTTGTTCCATGCGACTTAAATGGAGGCAATACTCGTTAGGTATGAGAGCAGTAGTTTCTATGATCAGACGACGCAGCCTGGCAACAGCATGGCTTGCGGGAATCAAACTTATGGAGATAACACAACATTTGACTCAACAGCTCAACAAATGCTAATCAATCTCCAAACAGCAACACCCAGAATTACTGGTTTCTTTGCAGCCACAAAGACTCGGATACCTAACAATGGTCCTACTGTCTATGCCATTGCTCAGTGTGTTGATACTGTCACACACAGTGGCTGCCTTGATTGCTTGAAGGTTGGCTACAACAATCTGCTGACTTGTCTTCCCACTTTGGAGGGTAGGGCTTTTGATGCTGGTTGCTTCATGAGATACTCCACCACTTCCTTCTTTCCTAATAACCAGACCATTGATATAACACCCTTCTTGAAACAAGGTTCAGTTCATTTGAAGGATTCAATATCTGCCTTTTTTATTTATAACGTTCAAGTGTAAGAAGCAGAAAATGAGATTGTATTTTACTATTTTTCTGTATTGTAGGTTCAAGTAAGAGGGGAGCTATTATTGGTGGGGTCGCAGGAGGAGTGGCTTTTGTTTTGATTGTCCTTGCAGTGTTTCTTTTGATTATGCAACCCAAGAGGCCAAAGAAGGTTCCCAGAGGTAAGAATACTTGGAATGTCTTCAGTTACTTAAGTCGTGAAGGTTTAATATAATGCTTAAGAGAAAAAGTCAAGCTTTCATCTCTACGAAGGCATGAATCACTGATTGATTTGTTCGTTTGTTAAGATGTTTTAACTTGTGTTTTCCCTGACAGATGACATACTGGGAGCAACAGAGTTGAAAGGACCTGTTAAGTACAGATATAAGGACTTGAAGATTGCAACAAAAATTTTAGTGAAGAAAATAAACTGGGAGGAGGAGGATTTGGTGATGTATACAAGGTAAAACTTCTGATTTTCTTCATTATTCAGTCTAGTTTTACGCAAGGATGTTTCTAAGTGAGCCTGTAAAAGGTTATATTTCCAAAGACAAAACATTAACTATTGAATTATTTCAATGACTGAAATTCTTAATCACCGTGGACAGGGCACTCTTAAGAATGGGAAAATAGTTGCAGTCAAGAAATTAGCTTTAGGTAACAGCAAGAGGATAGATGAAGATTTTGAGAGTGAAGTGAAGCTTATTAGTAATGTTCATCATCGGAATCTTGTTCGCCTTTTGGGATGCTGCAGTAAAGGCCAAGAGAAGATCCTTGTTTATGAATACATGAAAAACAATAGTCTTGACAGATTCTTATTTGGTAACTCATATCAACCATCAAGTTCTTCAAGTATTAGCTACCATTAATTATTTGTAATGTGTGAATATATTTTCTATTTAGCAATATATCCTTAACTTCTCCAACAAACACTTAACCATATGTTACGGTTTTATACATTTATTGAAAAACTTAACAAACGTTTTTGTTGGTTTGCTACTGAAGCGTTTTGAGAATAAATTTCATGCTTCATTCTTCCTTTTTCCTTAACGTTCAATGTGAAACAGGCCAAAACAAAGGTTCTCTCAATTGGAAGCAACGGTATGAAATAATTTTAGGCACAGCAAGGGGTTTGGCCTATTTACATGAGGAATTCTATGTTTGTGTCATACATAGAGATATAAAGACCAACAACATCCTCTTAGACAATGATCTTCAGCCTAGAATTTCTGATTTTGGGTTGGCAAGACTTCTGCCTAAGGACCAATCTCATCTTAGCACAAAGTTCGCAGGAACATTGTAAGTTGCAACACTGCATTTGTTTAATCTTCCATAACTTCTAATATATCACATGTATTACATAAGACATAAAAAAAATCTATACATCAGTGAATGGACCAGTCTTGTTGCATTAGTCTATATTACAACATTTTTTTTTTTGGTTTACCAAAAAAAAAAATTTGTATGTTTGTGTCTATGTCATTGTCCTTATGATTGTACCAAACAATATGCATTTGTTAGGGGATACACAGCACCTGAGTATGCAATTCAAGGTCAATTATCAGAGAAGGTCGATACCTATAGTTATGGAGTTGTAGTCCTAGAAATCATCAGCGGCCAAAAAGCATTGAATTAAAGGTTGATCCTAATGCCGAAGGCGAATTCCTCCTTCAACAAGTAAGAAATTTCTGTTTGAAGACTGATGCAATTTTGAGATATTTTTAACAGCTCATCACCGCATAATTAATTCTTTCTAAGAAATTACTCCTTTGTAACCCCGCCCTAGGTTTTGTTATGCTGCTTTCCCCCGTGCTCTAAGACACTTTGATTTCACCTGGCAGGCCTGGAAACTATATGAGAAAGACATGCACTTGAAATTGGTGGACGAGACCTTAGAGCCTAATGACTATGATCCAGAAGAAGTGAAAAAAATCATAGAGATTGGTTTGCTTTGTACCCAAGCATCTCCTGCAATAAGGCCAACAATGTCTGAAGTTGTTCTTATGCTTAGAAGCAAGGGCTTAATGGAGCACATGAAACCCACTATGCCAGTCTTCATTGAAACTAATTTGACGTCTAGGGAAGGCACCTTAACCTCAACTTCTTTCCTTAATACCAATGCTACAGCCTCCACTATTACACTATCAGCAAGATGATAGTACTACACAAGAATTTACAGCTGGAAGTGACTTAGACAGTTGAAGTTTCAACCTAATAATGTAAAAAGTAAAAATGTAAAGTCCTTTAATTAGTTTTACTATCATATTAAGGATCAAATTTTATTCTTATTTAACTGCAAAAATAACACAAAGATACTTTATCCAAGAGTATATAAGAGATACTCCTTTGGTTCTTAATATAGGATCCAATTACTAAGTTAGTTTTGGTTCTAAATATAAGACCTATTTCTCATATTTATTAATTTTTTCTAAATTACCCTTATGGATACTCTTTCAACTATAATCAAGTAGAAGAGAAAGAGGAGGTATTAAAAAAAATGAGTATGGTATAGACAAACGCGTCACATTTCTTATAATTAACTAACTTACTTAACTTCCATAATCAAATCAAATTAATTAAATGGGTATTATATTAAGGACCGAAGGAGTACTTCTTATCCATAAAATAAGCATTCATTACCATTTTGTTTATCCAACAGTACAGGAGATGCTTCTTATTCATAAAATCATTTCTTATTGCATTATCTTTTCCATCACATCCTATTCTACGTACCAAATGGGCTCCTTGGTTTGATAGCTATTATATCACATATTCATGATTGGTCATTAAAATTTTTTAATTCAGATTTTTTCTGACTCTTTGATGGTTACTTTTTTATTATTTTCTAATAAATAATTTCAAAAACTCTCAGAAACGCATTTTTCTATGTCATATTCTTGACAAAGCTACATCATGGATATTAGAAATAGCCTATCATACACACCAAACCAACATTCAACCTAGAGACATTTATTTTATGCTAAGATGGGAAAATGTTGTTCAGCAAACCATCCAAATAGCCATCTAAAAATATTACTTCTAGCCAAGGCAACGGATTGTACAGAAAGAAAGATGGCGACTTTATTCCATTATATACAACTCAATTGTTCTCAAAGCCACATAACATTAGACTCACATAGCGCACACTTCACAAGACTTTTGTGGACATCTGAACACGCATGCATAGATAGTAACAAGTAGAAAGATAGTCAGTACCAAGTATACACTCATGGTACAAAAATACAACTAGAAAGATACAAGAATACCAAGGAGAACCATCAGCTGAGAAATGAACTCAGGATGCCCTGGCCATGCAGCTCCAGTTACTAAACTTCCATCAGTGAAGCAGCGGTGTATTGGATCAGGTTCCAACCAAGTCGCTCCTGATAGAACCACATTAAGCTTCACAGCCGGATATGCCGTACATTTTCTTCCCTGAAAAAGTAATAAAAGCGTGTCATTTTAGCAGTGCATATATGAAACAATGCACAACCTGAAAATTTTTTAATTCTGCATTAACAACTACAATAGGGGTACAATGAGACTTCGAAATATTCAATGACACATTCAGTGTTTTTCAACCAGCTTGCACCATTGAATGTTCCATAAGAAATAGGAGAATATGACCAACAAACAAGGGATCACCAGCTGGATATAAAAACTCACAACTAAATTTACCATTCCCATAGTCAACTAGAACCTATAAGCCTTTCAAAAGACAGCAGAATTGATCAAACAAGAGATATTGATGGTTAGAATAGCTACAGAACAACACAATTAGAAGAGCCAGTGTTCACGTTAACATCTGTCCATTCCCAGATATTTCCATGTATATATCACTCACTCTGACTTTCATAATACTGCCTGTTTTTGACGAGTGAAACCAAGGTATCTAAAAACAACAGGATAACTGAGCCTGTATAAGTTGAACATAAAGGAGAGATTACTTAACCAGAAAACAACAATAACAAGAACAACTAAAATACTAAAGTAATGAGACCAGAATCATCGGCCAGCCATAAAATCCAAATAAACCAGATGAAGCTACAGTAAATCTGACTGCAGATTTTGAAGCAGCAGAAAATCCACGCCAAGCAGGAACAAGCATGAGAGGGAGATGCTGCGATTCTCAATGTATAACCTTTATGCTTCAATCAACATAATGCAAAATATCAAGCACTTCAAGAATGAAGATAAGGCAAGAAATCAGAAATAAATAAACTCAGAAGCATCTCCACTCGAGATAGCAGTAGAAGCAGCAAATGAGGAGGACGCATACAGCTCAATCAGAAATTTTTTGCCTTGAGTACATGAAAGGCTTAATATTCAAACTTTTAATTCTTTAAGCGCATAGGAAAAAACACCTAGGATGATAAATATCACATCTTCCTACAGCTGAAACTTGACAGCATATACTAAAATAGAACATAACAAACAGAGAGCTCCAAATAAGTGAATCAGTAATCATACCTTCAGAACATCAGCAGCAGCTAAAATCTGTTGCCCATGGCAAATAGATGCCACTGGCTTCTTCTTTTCCATGAAATGCTTCACCAAGGCAATAACTGACTCATTCAATGCCAAATACTCGGGGGATCGGCCTCCAGGTATGACAAGAGCATCATAGCTCGAGGCATCCACATCATCATAGGTTGCATTTAAGGCAAAGTCATGTCCTGGCTTCTCACTGTAAGTTTGATCGCCTTCAAAGTCATGAATGGCAGTCGGGCAAGTATCACCAGCCTTTTTCTTGGGGCAAACTGCATCAACCACGCATCCTAGAGCCTGAAGAGATTGAAAAGGTACGGCTACCTCATAATCTTCCATGAAATCCTGCAATGAAAATTTTCCAATGAAAAATATCTCCATCAATCCACACCAGCAAAAGTGAACTTTTGTATTTACGTACAAATCTAGGTACAAAATCCAATTTCTTTTCGCACGAATAAACCAATTAGCTCTATCCCTCAAAAGTCTAGATCAACGATCAATAAAAGTTCACGTAAGTATTTGATTTCATGGTTCTTAACTTCTTATACATAAGAAATAGTGAATAAATTGAACATACCCCACAAAGAAACAAAATCCTTTTATTGGAGCCACTTATGTTGCCTCCTAACGCCTTCACAATATGGCGAATAAACTCCGCATGCCCATAATATGTAGCTGCAGTGATGAGATTACCATCAACCAGAGTCGACGACAAGCTCTCAGGTTCAACCCAGTGAGCACCAGCAGCAACCAGAGCCGATCTAACTGCAGGAAATGCCGTGCACTTGCGACCTTTAACTGCGTCTGCACCCGCCAGAATCAACTGGCCGTGACAAATGGAAGTGATTAACTTCCCAGACTTCATAAATTCGGTCACTAACTTCACAACATTCGGATCGTGAGCAAGATACTCCGGCGCCCTTCCACCCGGTAGCATTAAGCCATCATAGCTTTTGGCTTCGACTTCATCAAACGTCGCGTTGAGTTGAAAATTGTGACCACGAACCTCAGTATAAGTCTGAAAGCAAGGAAACACATAAATAAATCAACTATCAAGATCAAATATTCAACATTCAATGATAAATAATTGCCCAAACCCAAAAAAAGAAAAAATATCTCGCTATCGAAACCTGATAAACAGATATCTGATGAACAGCGGTGCGGCAGACATCACCGGCTTTCTTTCCAGGACAAACGGCATCGACGGCTACGCCATAGGCTTGCAATGCTTGAAATGGAACCATCGCCTGCAAAACACAAATCAAAGAACCAAGTAGAGTTACAGAAAGTATGAAACTACCATAGAAGAAACTGAACTACAGAAAAAACGAATAATCCAGGAAGGAAGTGAAGGTGAAGATACTTCATAGTCTTCCATGTAATCACCGCAGAGAAGCAGAACCCGTTTCTGACCCATGGTGGGTATCGATAGGGATGCGGAGAACAAAAGAAAGCGTCAACTTTCAAAGGCCAGCAACACAGTGAAGAAGCTCTGGAAGAGTGTAGGGATGTGGGTGACGCATACATAACGGGGATTGAAATTGTGGGTTTTAAAGAAAGAGAAATTTCGAGTCCAGGGGATCCCTGATCCCTTATTGGTTGTCGTGTTGGAGGGGCTTTTCTGTAAAAATGGTCAGATATTAAAATGCGGCTGAAGAGAGAAGAATTACGAAGAAATGAGCGTGATGTGCGTGAGATCAACCTGGGAATAGAGAGATGGGCTTTATCGTGTCCTTCAGGTCAGCATTTTTCTGATATTTCGGTGTTTTTTATTTATTAGAAATATTTATTTTTTTGGAGTAATTAAAAATATTTAAAATGAGTATATGGATTACATTTTCATTGAAAACACAAGACCACATAAGCAATTCACAAAATTCCGGAAAAAAAAAAATACAGGCAATTCACGAAATGACCTGATACTAAAAAAGTTTCAAGAAATTCAAACGAAAACAAAATTTTGGCCACAATAACATAAATGCTCATAATCCTTTTTTTTTTGGTAAAAAAAATTCTCTTCCACCTTCGTTCTGGCCGGCCGGAGCTCTGCACCAACGAGTAAATCATTTAAAAAAGTGGTGTTGGATGTGAGAATTGATCCTGGCCTTTTGGTATCTGAAAAAAATATTTTGATCATTGGGTCACTAATTATCCTTAATTATATAAAAAATATGATATGAGAATAATAGTTTTAGAATAAGGATAACACGTTTTGTCCTGGGAAATAACAAATAATAAATCTAATCCTTAATATAAAAACTAAATAACGAATGTGAAGATATTAAGAACATTAGTTAAATTAATTATTTGCCACAAATGTGCATTGATCTCTATAAATTTTTCTCTTTAATTATTTATATTAGAATACCCTTTAATAAGAATATCTCATAATCAATAACAATATTTTGAAAAGAATGGAGACAAAATAAATTGAAATTTTATATTTAGAACGAAATTTAATTATCAACTAGTTTTTATATTAATGATCATATATGTTACTTAGGAATAAAAACTTTGTCTACGCATGATAACAAGTGCACTTATGAATAAATGATTACTGTCATACAAATAATTCTATTTGGGGATTTCAGTTTGGTGGCAACCAGGAGCTATAAAACATCCTCGTGTCATAAATGACAACTTTGATTATGTGTAACTAGTACATGCTTGGGAAAAAACACTAGTACATGCTTGACAATTACCATTCAAGAGTTACATTGGAAATGTAAAGGATATAAGAATGATGTGGCATGAATTTTTGATTGGTGAGATTATACATGAGTTTTTGCCATTATTGAAGTAGTGGTCATTTTGATCTTCATGGGCATATCAGCAGAGCTTTTTTTTTTTTTTTAAAATCAAAACATAATTTCATTCTAACAAGTTCCTTAATACACTGTCATGGGAGAATCCAAGGAAAAATGAAGGCGTTTTTGGTCGTATTCTCATATGCCGTTAACACAAAATTTCAATAATAAATTTTGGGTACAAATTGATAATAGGGATGTATACCGGTAAGAATTTATTTTTATCAATAAATAATCATTAAAAATATATAATTAAATAATTAAAATATTAAAATAAGAACAATTTTATTTAAATATATTTCAAATATAAATAATTAAAATTAAATTTATCAATATTCATAGTGTGTCATACTTAACAAATTTTTTTTATAAAGTTCAAATGTAAATTTACTAATCATAATCAAATTCACAAAAGTTAGTACTTCTCTTATCCTTAATATAAAACTTATTTAACTAATTTGATTAGATTAAAGAAATTAAGTAAGTTAGTTAATTATAAAAAATATGACATATTTTTTTTAAAATACCATAATCATTTTTCTTAATATCATTTCTTCCTTATTTATTTGATTATGGTTAAGTGAGTATTCCTATGAGTAATTTAAAAAAAATTAGTAAATATGAGATATAGATCTGATATTTAGAATCAAAATTAACTTAATAATTATGTTTTATATTAAGAACAAGAATAATATAAATTTAAACGAGGGTAAAGATAATTTTGTAAAATAAAAATATATATTTATTTTATATATTATAAAAATACTTTTAAAATCATCTGCGACCGCCACTTTAAGAGTAATGAGTTATAATTGAAGAAAAAAAAAAAATCGGAAAGTCGACGATCCCGAGTTCGAATAAGAAATCCTGAACTTTCTTCCCCCAAACCGAAGAGAGTAGCGTTGTGGTAGGGTTCAGCGCCTCACCGGTTCATCGTAGCTTGTCTCCGGCGACGATGGACGTTGCAAATGCGCGTAACCACGCCTCCAAACGAAAGTTTGACGACATCGTTTCACCATCCTCGCCGCCGCCTGCAGCAGCCTCCTCCAATGGCTTCAACGATGACAACAACATCAACGGCATCGACCTCTCGCTGCTCGAAGCCGTTGAGAAATCCCAGAGCTCCGTTGAAGTGCTTGACCTCAAAGCCCTCAAGAAACTTGTCCTCTCCTTTGAACGCCGCTTGAAGGACAACATCGAAGCTCGCCTCAAGTACCCGAACCAACCTGATCGTTTTGCCGATTCAGAGATTGAGCTCCACGAAGAGCTTCAGAAGCTCAAGGTCCTTGCAGGAGCTCCAGAACTGTACCCTGACCTCGTCAATCTTAACGTCGTGCCATCCATTGTGGATTTGTTGAACCATGACAACACTGACATTGCCATAGACGTTGTCCAATTGCTTCAGGACTTGACCGATGAAGATGTACTCGAAGATAACGATGAGCCCGCGAAGGTTTTAGTCGATACTTTGATTGAAAACAGCGTGCTTGAGTTGCTCGTTCAAAATTTGCATAGATTGTCGGATTCTGACGCGGATGAGATGGCTGCGGTTTATAATACGCTAGCCACGATAGAGAATTTGATTGAGGTAAAGCCAGCAGTGGCAGAATTGGTTTGTGAGAAAACCAAGTTGTTGAAATGGTTGTTGGGGAAGATTAAAGTGAGAGAATTCGATAGTAACAAGCAGTATGCTTCAGAGATATTGGCGATTTTGTTGCAGAACAGCACCGCTAATCAGAAAAGGTTAGGGCAGATGAATGGAGTAGATGTGGTGCTTCAGGCTGTAGCCATGTACAAGTCTAAGGACCCCAAGAGTTCGGATGAGGCAGAGATGGTGGAGAACCTGTTTGATTGTCTGTGCTGTTTATTGATGCCATTGGAGAACAAGGAAAGATTTGTGAAGGCTGAAGGAGTCGAACTGATGATAATTATTATGAAACAAAAGAAATTGGCTTATGGGTCAGCTATAAGGGCGCTTGATTTTGCAATGACCAAGTATCCTCCTGCCTGCGAACGGTTTGTGGATGTTTTAGGCTTGAAGACAGCATTTGCAGCTTTTATGGGTAAGGCAAGTGATACAACCTTTCTTTATGTGCATAGCTTATCTTTGTTACAGTTATACGTTACAAATTGCCTGTTTTATGTCTTATCATTAACTCACAAATAACAATTGCTACTACGTTGTATTTGTATACTACGGAAGTCTATTTCATAAGTTCACTTCGATTTGACGTGCAAGTCATGTTCTCGATTATATTTGTCCACCAACATATCTAACTAATAAAACAAGCTTTTGTGACGGAGTCTCTGACAACGGCAAGTCTGCTATTTTACAAAATTGATAGTGTTAAAGTTTACCATGTCTGCCTTCTTCATGTAACCAAAACAAGTGAAAGTTTATCTGAGTGACAAATGTAAAAGTAAGAGTAGCATTTGTATTCCTTCTGGAGTCAAGACCTTTGGGGGTAAACATACCTTTTTTCCTTGTCCATGGCGCATATTAGACTTCCATTGAATATTGGCACTTATGATTTTTTGACAATCATTTTTAAGTTCAAGATTGTGTAAAACCAACTTCTCAATCCATATCTACCGAAAAAAGTCAGTTATTAAAAGCATCACATGGTGTCCTCTTTCCGACCATTTCCATTCTGAAGTTTGAAGATGTGATGTCATAGGCATTTTATAGATTGACCAACGCTGACAAGTTGTGTGTTGTACTGCATAGGTTCCTATCAACAAGAAGAATAAGAAAGAACGCTACCAGGAGGAATTGGAGGGGCGCATTGTGTCACTGATTTCTTCATTATTTGGTAAGCAGGCAAGTAAAGTTGATTTGAGTTTTGACTAGGATGTATGAGTTGGAAATTGGTGAGTTACTGGCATTGTGAAGTTGTCTTCATCATTACTCTTTATTTTATAGTCCACAATGATCAAGTTGCTGTTTGTTGCACGGCATTGCATATGCAGAGCATCATACACTTGACTAGGTACTGTGGTGTAGAACTTTGTGCATGACCAAACAGAGGATTTTGTTATGTGATGTCCCTCAAGTATATTCTTCACACTTAGATAAATATCATAAATTTCTTACACTTGATTTTTAATTTAATCTTTACTATTTTCATGCATTATGCTCTATGTCAATTTAAAGTTTACATTCCATGACATGGAAATTCTGGCTCTCCTTTTTTTTTTAGTCACTGGAATATAGTTACTTGTCGTTTATCCCCCCCCCCCCAAAAAAAAAAGAAAAAAGAAAACAGTCTAGTGAGTTGTCAATGAGGCAACTTTTGCTAAAGACTTTGCTATTTGAAGAGGATCGAGCTATGGTTTTTATCATATCTGTATCTATAGCACACGCTGCCATTGTTAAGCACAAGTGTCCTTTATCTCATATTGAAAATAAGCGTTCATTGAGAAAATCAGCCTGGCAAGGATTGAAATCCTGAAGTCTTTGATACCCCATCAAGGAGCTTATGGTCCCCATAACTTTGGCTTATAAAAGTTCTAGAAACGTTATGTTTTCTTTGATTTAGAACATTTCTTATAATTCTTATAATATCGCTGCCACCACTTATAATCATTTACATGGGACGAAACCCACAACAATTTTATGTTTGAATTTCACAGCAGAGATTCCTCTCTTTCTAATTTTATTGAATTGGCCACTTGAAGTGCCTATATATAATGGTTGTTA